GCCTGGTTAGTCAGTATTGTAAAGGCAAGGGCAAGTTCTCCAACTGTAACCTCTCTGTCTACTCCCAGAGTGCTTCTTGATGCCTCTTTTAAGTGTTGCATGCACGACTCTTACTGGTGAGTAAGAGATCTATAAATGGGTTCTAATGAGGAGTAAACATCATGTGGTCGTTCAGTTTGGAAGCTTGTTGAGTGGGAGGGATTTACTGAACCTTGGTGCACTTGCTATAATCACTGATCTTCTATGAAGTGCTAGTCTGTTTTCTCCTTTTGTAAAGTTATTGCTTATAAAAGAGGATGCCTTAACAGAATGTTAGAGTTAAATATATAAGACTGGAAACTGCTGAAATAAATAAAGAAAAAATGTATTTAGTGCCCAGGTGATTCATGCCTGGTCTATTAGCACCAAATATGGTCATTTTACTGCATTTATGAAGATACAGGCAAAATATGGATCCATTTCATGTTTCTTCTTTCAGCTAGCATGCTCTATAAGAACAGATAACACTGACAGTTGGAATCGCTGTTCCTTTTTTAAGAATAAATCTTTTTATCTGCTTGCTCTTAACAAGCTGGGTGTATTTTCAGAGAATAAAAGGGAGATGCAGCATTAAAACCTGTGATTTTGAAAAAGAAAAAAAAAAAGTGAGATTTTGCAATTCATTTATTTATTTAAATTAATTTTTGAAGCTGCATCTATGTTGAATAGCACATAAATTAAATAATTTCTTACATAAAAGTAGCCACTGCTTTTTCTTGTCTCTAGAACTTGCAGGGATTCAGTCTTTTTTGTTCCAGAAGGTAACACTGGCATCTTACCGACTGCAATCACAGCGCTTCAGATTCTCACTCAAGGAATGGAAAAGGTCTTGAGGGCTGAAAACCCCTCTAATTCCGTGATTCAAAAGTACTTCTAAGCATGTGCTTATATCCATCCTTAATCAGGACAACATCTAAGCAGTTGCTCCCAAGTACATTCTTTTCTGCTTTCTTTAAAATGGCCGAGGGTTGTTCGGTATAAGCTTGATTGGAGTGGCAAGGGAGGCTGGTAGGTAAGAGCTGCAGCAGCTGAAAGAACCACCAGAGAACATAACTGTGAGGATTATTAATGTACCATAAGCAACCTATTTTTGAGTTTACAGACTCCCATTGATCTCTGGAGGAGTTTGCACTCTAAAAATAGCGTGCCTTTGGGAGCTGGGACAGAAAGAATTGGAGCTGGCCAGTGGGAGGTCTGAGGGGGTTGGAGCATCACAGGGAGATAATAGAGGGTCCAGTGACTGCAAAGAGAGTTCAGGTAGCAATTATAAGCAACCAGAGAGTATACCCGAGAGAAGGATAATATTATTACCAGGTGTTAAAATAGCACTGCTTGCAGGCAGCATGCTTTAGACATAATTTGAGAACAGTGGGCTTGATTTTCCTCAGCCCCTGAGCACTGGGGCAGCTTTTATCGTCATGATAGTTTGATTTCTTCTGCATTTGGATGGCAAGTAGCAGAGTTCCAGGGAGCTATAGGTGTTTTTTTTTTTTTTTTTTTTTTTTGCTCCTCCTGCTAACTAACTAGTCTTGTAGGCACATGGCCTCCTAGAAGACCAAATGTCCTTTGGCTAGAGCTGCTGTGTCTGAGTTGAGGCTGGAAGAACTGGACACAATGGATCTTTTGGAAGGTCCAATGCCTAGTGAGAGACCTGTGCCATGGGATGGGGGAAGAAAAGAGATGCTTGCTCCGCTGGCTGGGATATGATGCCAGTTGGGACCTTTCAGCCCATAGGTCATAAAGGTATTAAGTGATATTAATATTAATTTTAGTGGGATTTGGGTGTGAGCAGCAGTAAGACAGTATATAACACCTTGTAGTTTTAGTTTGTAAACTCTCTGGCAATTCCACAGCTAAGCAGGGGCAAGCAGGGACCTCGCACCTGGCCCATGAATCTGCCATGGCCCTTGTGAGTGGAGGAACAGACAAAGGCTCTTCCCAGACTTGCAGACTGCCTGAGCCTTGAGAGCACCTCTGGAGACCATTCAGTCCAACTCCCTGTTTGGGACAGAGTCTTTGCTCAGGGCCATGTCCACCTGGATTTTGAATATCTCTGGGGATGCAGTCTCCACAACCTTTCTGGCCAACCTGTGCCAGTGTTTGACCACACTGATGGTAAAAAAAGTTTTGTTTACTATTGAGATGAAATTCCCCATATTTCACTTTGTGCCAGTTGTCTGCTGCCCTGTCACTGGGCACCAGTGAGCAAAGTCTATCTCCATCTTCTTTGTACTCATCTTCTTTGCATTACTGAGATCCTTGGGTGCTTGATGTGCACAGCACAGGACAGCTGGCATTAGGAACTCAGGAAATAAGGAAAGGCTAAACTACTTGGAGAAGATAAACATGGAGCTCCTAGGCAGGGCAGATATCTCCTCCAACATGACACCTGCAGAAAACATGGCCTTACCATCTAAGATGCTGAATCTTCTAGAAAGGTACTTAAAAAAAAAAAAAATCGTGTAATCCTAAAAAGTAGAATGCTAAATTACAGCTGCCCATCATGACACAAACCTGCCCACAATGTGTTTGGAGGCAGAAACTAACAGTGGCCTCTTTCACCAGAAGGATCAGAAAACATTTGTGGCAGCAAGGACCACACTGTGCTCAGATGTGCCTGCTGTGCCCTGAACACTCTTTCTCCCAATCCCAGGCTTGAGCACTTGAGTTCAGTTATAGCCAACAATGTTTTATCCACACACCACTTGAAAACAGCCACGCTGTAATATTCAGGAACAAGCACAGAACAGTTTGAAAGAGAAAGGAGAATAATCCTGAGAGCTGAAGCACATGGAGGGTATGTGCAGGCAGGCGGTAATTACATAGGGCAGGATTACACGTGCATGCATATCCCAGGGAGCCATCAAACACAGCCTTAAAGCTGGATTTTGTTTTTGAGATCAGAAAGATAAATACCTAGGATTACCTGATTGGAAGAAAATTTCAGCTGAAACAGAAGAGTGGTTTTAATCGAGGCCTTCCCTGGTTACCAGTTTGTAACCAAGGAAGGGGCAGTGTTCCCAGTATTCCATACGATTTTTACGTAAATCGTGGTATAAATAAGAAGGGAGGAGAAGACTTCGTTCTTCTTCTCTTCCGGCGAAGTTCGGGAACAGTGGGTCCCTGCGTTGGTCTTGCTTATCTAAGGCTGAGGCCTGCAGCATCCACTGGCCTGCCACATGGAGGCTTGGGGAGTGCTGGCCGTGTCTGCCAATCCTGCTTTCTAAGGGACGTGGTGAGATTTGTTTTTCTAGTTATTTTACTAGTTCTCGGGTTTGATTGCGCATATCTATTTTTTGTCCCTTTTTGTTTCCTTTTGTCCCTTTTTTCCCCTTTCCCTATCCCTTCGGGGGGTGTTTGGATTCCCGTTTGCTGTGTACATAGCATCTTAGCTGTAATATACATAAAATATATTTTTTATATAACTAGCTTGGTTTTCGGGTTCTTCAATTTGCATAGTTTTTTTTTTCCTTTGCCCTGGGGGACGTAGAAAGGGGGAAGAGAGGGCCGCTACTGGGGGGTTGGGCATTTGGCAGGGAGCCAAGTCCGAACCATCACACTTACTGAATCTGGCTATGAGATAGCCTTGTTGTTTGATTGCTAACGCCCACAGAGTGTGTCAGTAGCTCTACTTGTGGTTTTATGACCTCTTTACTGCACACAATGACACCCCTTCACTTTTTTCCGTTAATTAACTTTTGAGTTCTTTATTCAAAAGTCAACAACACTTTCAAGCAGTCAGTGCAGAGTTTCTCTTAGAGTTCTCTTAATAGCACCTCTCTTCTGCAAGGAAGTGTTTCTTCTGAAAGCTAAGAAATTCCAGCCTTCTGATTGTCCCTCCGGTATTTGTTCAGATGTGCACAGCCTACACATATTCAGGAGCACAACAAAAACTCACTTTATGTAACACATCATGAGATATAGAATTTTGTCATTTTTGTTCTGTGGCCTGTGACTTTTTCTCTATTTTCTAAGCATATGTTAAAGGTTCATGCGTTCAATAAAATTTACCAAAAATAGAGATATTCCTCCACCTCAAATACTTACATCTTAGCTGATTAAACATATATGCTGACCTTTTGAAAGTTAATTGCAAAACCTATTTTGCTCTGTATTGCATTTGTCTGGAACCAGCAGTATCAACAGCAACCACTGGTATCTCTTAACTTCAAAGAGAACAGAAATAGGCCCTATGCTTGGCTTCAAATTAGCTGTGACTGTGCAGCAAAGAGTCACTGTAGGTAGGTCAAAGGAAATTGCTGATCATTCCCCAGACAGCAGCTAAGCACTCCACTCTCTGCCCACCCCCCCTCCCCCTGAAATCTTGCTTTAGATAATTAAATACATTAACTCTAGTGGGATTTATGCAAACAACACAGAAGATACTTTGCTACCATGTCTAGAATATTGTCCTCAGTGCATTTCAGTCATGAGAATTAAAGCAGAAATAGGGGAGGAGTGGAGCTGTGACAAAAGTAGTTACAGGAACGTATACACTGCCAAAAGAGGAGAGGCTGAAAACCCCCAAAACTGTTCAGTTTGGACAGTAGACAGAGACTGAGACTTTCTTACCAGTAAGGACTCTAATAGGCAGAAAGAGAAGGCAAGAGAAGAGGATAACCAGAGCAGTTAACCCAGCCCCCCCCCATATGTGTATATACCAATGAAGAGAATTTACAGGTAAAATTTTGACTTTTATAAATTGATGCTTTAAAGGCCTGAGCTCTTAACAGACTCATGAAGTTTCATCAGATTTAGAGGTTAGGTGGAAAAATCTACTGGATCACAAAGATCTGTATTGCCTGAACTTGGCTGTAAACAAGTACAGTCAGCAAGAGCAAAATTGCAGGTGTGGGGAGTGCACTCCCCCTCACAACTTACAGGTGCTTTTCTGCATGGTCTGAAAACACACGTGAGTGCACTGATAATGATTAATTTCTGGTTTTTTATTTGTCACACAGGTCTGACAAGTGAAATCTAATGGATTCCGAGGAATGGAGATAATTTGAAATATTTTATATATTTGTATAGATGTGTA